AGGATACCTGTTTTCACAATTTCTGTTCGTCATAGTACTGAAAGTAATTATGAGAGCAATTAGAAAAGAAAAAGAATTAAAGTTATTCAGTTTGGAAAATAGACAAAATGTCCATATTTGCAGACAAATTTTTTACATTAAAAAATTTTTTTAGACTATAAAAAAAACTGGAAATATTAAGAAAACCCAGTAAACTTACAGAATACAGAATCAATGTGAAAAATAGTATTTCTGTATACAGTGAACTGAAAAAATTTTAAAACTTTAGTTAGAAAAACTACAAAAAATTATCAGTCCACTTGCATTCTTGTTGTGTACAGTGCAAGGTAAGGTCTAACTTCAATTTGTCCAATTTGGATTCCTACTGTTCCCAACCTTATTTGTTATAGAGATGGTCCTTTGCTTATTGTGGTATTTTGGAAATCCTGGCAAACATAAGTTTACTATATAAGTGAGGATTTATTTACAAGATTTCTAATCCATTTTATCATTGATTTGTCTGTCTTATGCCTGCAAAACACAGTTGTATAATGTTTTACAATTGGAATTATAATTCCTCTAACTTTGTTTTTCTATTCAATATGGGGGTGGTTATCCTTTAGGATTTTATAGAAATTTTGAAACTTTTTTTTGAGATAGTTTCACTATGTTGCCTCTGTAGAGTGCGGTGGCGTCACAGCTTACAGCAACTTCAAACTCTTGGGTTCAAGTGATTCTCTTGCCTCAGCCTCCCTTGTAGCTCAGACTATAGGCATCCGCTACAATGCCTGGCTATTATTTTGTTTTTTTGTTTAGCAGCCTTGGTGCATGTGGCTGGTGCCCTAACCCCTGAGGTATGGGTGCTGAGGCAGAAATTTTGAAACATTTTAACACTGTACAAAAACTTCCATTGGTATTTTGATAGCGATTTCATGAGATCTGTAGATCAGTTTGGGTACCACTGGCATATTAACAGTATTTTTATTTATTTATGTATTTATTTTGTAGAGACAGTCTCCTTTTTGGGCTTAGGGGATTCTCTTGCCTCAGCCTCTCAAGTAGCTGGGACTCCAGATGCCTGCCACAATGCCCGGCTTTTTTTTTTGTTGTTGTTGTTGCAGTTTGGGCAGGGCTGGGTTTGAAAGCGCCATCCTCTGTGTATGTGGCTGATTCTGTAAGCACTGTGCTATGGGTGCCAAGCCTGGTATACCATTTTGAATTTTTTTGTTTAAAATTTTTTTGTTGTTTGTTTTATACTAATTTTTAAATTACAGTTTTGCTAGAAATATTATTGATTTCTGTATTCTGGGTTGGTAGTAATTTTTTGTTTGCATCTTTAATATATGATTTTACATCTTTCTTGCTTATAAGGTATTTTTGCTTAAAAAAATCTGTTAATCATCTTATAGGAGTGCCCTTGAACATGCCAAATCACATTTTTATTGCTGATTTCAATTTCAGGGTTTGCTTGTAAGTTTTTAATCTTTCATTACAGTGTGTCTTGTTTTTAGTCATTTTGTGTTGTTCTTAGTTAAGGTAGGTTGAGCTTCTTTAAATTTTATGATATTTTCTTCTTCTATTTTAGAAACTTCTCAGACATTATTTCTTTACGTAAGCTCCCTGCTAATATTTTTCTCTTTTGTGATAGAACTCCTACTGTAAATATATTTTGACATGCTTACTGGTAATAATTACCTTAGGGTCTTTTCACTTTTCTTCTTCTTATTTTTTAAAGACAGAGTTTCACTTTATCGCCCTCAGTAGAGTGCTGTGGCGTTACAGATCACAGCAACCTCCA